CCTCTGCAGAACTGACCCGGGAATGACTCGATTTCAACACTTTTAGGCGGTTTAATAGTTGAAACAAAACAGTAAAAAAAAAAAAAAAAAAAAAGTGGCTCCTTTTGCCGAGCAGATAAGATAACAGACACCAGTGGTGCACGCAAAGGAAAGGGAAGGCTTCACTGTCTTATAAAATCAAAAATGTGCTTAAGGTGCAAAAATGGGCACGAGTTGTAATATACAACTGTGTATAAATTAGCAAAACAAAAAACAAAACCTGCTATGTATGCATCCAAAATGTCATCAGAATACGACCAGGACAACAGTGCAGGGGGGCATTTACAATAATGCAAAACTCTGTCATGATGCATTTTTCACTGACAGGTTCTTTGTATTTGTAGGTGTAACTTCTAAACACCACCATTTATAGCCACCATTTATTTATGCTTTAACTATTTAAATAGTTTTCTCCCTAATTTATTATTTGTTATGATTTGCTATTTCAAATACACGTGAGACGACATATGTTGTAAATTGTACTAAATACAATTAGAAAATATATTTTTAAAAAAATTAAAACGAATAAATCAAATTGATTTGAATTGAATTTCACTATTTATGCCGCATCTATTTCAATTTTTATACATTACAGAAGCTGTTTTCACAGTTTATTCATTATTTTCAGGGAACTATTCTTACTGACATATTCTAGTATAGTGTTAGCTCGCCATTTTAGCTATGCATCCATCCAGCTGACATCATTATCCATTACCTTTAGTGAACTATTTTTATTGTCAACTAGCCATTATTCATTTTTTTACTACCATTATTTTTTCAACCATTTTTCCACTACCTTCAGCTAATGATTTTTACTCTTCGCTGGCCATTTTAATCATATATCTGGACTTTTGGCTAACCTTTTTATTTTATTTTACATTTTAACCATTTACTCATCACTTTTAGCTAACTGATCCACACCTGTTTCTTTGGCCAACATTGTTTATCATTGTTCAGACAACCAAGCACACTCACACTCACACCTACGGACAATTTAGAATCACCAATTAACCTCAGCATGTTTTTGGACTGTGTGGGAGGAAGCTGGAGAACCCGGAGAGAACCCACGCTGCACGGGGAGAACATGTAAACTCCAGAAAGATCCTGGAGTTTCCTCACCGGGAAGCGAACCTGCGACCTTCTAGCTGCGAGGCAACAGTGCTAACCACCACTCCACCTTGCAGCCCGTCATTTTCATCATGTATCTAAAAATTTTTGACTAACGTTATTTGTTTTTATTTATCCATTTCTTTAAAAAAAAAAATCAATTCAAGTTTATTGTCATTTTGCTGTACATACACAACAGTACAAACAAGAATTTAAATTAACTTAATTAGCTACATTAACTATTAGTTTGTTAATTTTGCTAATTATTACCTTCTTAACATTGATTCGTATCTTTTGGATGGTTCATTTATTGGTTTATCAATTTGTTTTTGCTCATGTACTCTAATGTTACCATTTATCTATTAGTTTTAACCAACATATTATTTTAACAAATCTGTTACTCTGGCTTAATTATTTCAGTTGTCATCCATCACAGTTTGAACTTCTCCGCTCACTGATTATTCAGTTTACGCACAATCTCAACAAATGGTATTTAAATAGGTAAATATATATTTTAAAAACTGTAATATCTTTTTTTCTTTTTCTTTTTTGAAAATTACCCTAATCTGGGTAATTCATAACCTTTACCTTTGCCTTAATACTATCAGTAGGACACGTACCACTGATGGGGAACCACAGAATTAAGACATTTAGTCAAGTGCAGCCAATTTGCATCCGTGTCAGTCTGTTTGCAAAAGTGAAACACACTTACAACCTGCACACAGACTCCAGGTAGCACGTGTTGCAGAGCATGTGCACGAAGCTCTCTCTTGAAACACCAATTCTTTTTTTTTTCAGACGTATGCACTAAAATGATGACGTAAGTGTCTAATCAAGCTGGAGGGATTTTTCTTGGCAAGTGATCAGGTTCTTACATTTACATATCACAGAGCTCGAAAGCAAAACTCAATAAGTGGCTGCACCACTTAACCCTCATCATTAAATGTATGGTGTTACCCACAAAACCTCTGACATGTAAATCAATAGAGGTTGAACCTTATAGCTTTTCAATAGATTCCTCTGCAGAACTGACCCGGGAATGACTCGATTTCAACACTTTTAGGCGGTTTAATAGTTGAAACAAAACAGTAAAAAAAAAAAAAAAAAAGCACTTCATGTTTAGGACCCAGTGTTACTTTCAGGTTACCCGGAGCAGTGAGAAAGGAACCATGAACACTGGACTGACACCCATTCGCATGGATATGGGGAAGTTGTGACTAAACTGGGAGAAGGAAGAAGGCTTTTACTTTATATCATGTTTGTCATGATCACACATCCTGATTTGCTCGTTTTGGGAAGCAAGTGTTAGGTAGTAGTCAAACAAAACAGGACTCAATAAAAAGCTATAACATATTGTGCCTCTAATCCTCAGATTAGCGACAGAGATAACACAGGCTGTTGCAGAGAATGGAGAAATAACAAATACTGACATACTATAAAATGAAAAGCTTGAGTATTAGCATGGCATTAAAAAAGAAGTAAACCCGTCATATTGACAGGGATCAACAGTAGACAGAAGGCAGCGGAGAAAACGTGTTAGTTGTGCAGCGTGGAAATGCAGGGAACCTGCTGAAGGTTCCTGTTACTGGCTTGTGCTGCTCTCACTGCCTGAAAATAACCTTTGTGCGCAGCAGTGGAACCACATGTGTTAAACCACACCAGCAACACACTCAACACAACTTGCAGGAACACCAGAAACAGCCTGCTTTTCCCCTCACACACTTGTTTTTTTTAAAAAACTCGCCTCCATGTTTTCGGGAACTAGACAGCTCCATCTCAGTCTCATGTCTCTGAAATAGCAAAGGCTCCGTCTGAGTCACTGAAAGTGAAAGAGAAATCATTTCACCGGGATGTCGTGAGGGTCGTTTTACAGCCTTGTGACTTTAACCCAACATGTGTCCAGTCCTGTTTTCAATTTAAGCCACACAATGCAATCGTGTATTTTTTGTTATTTTTATTTTTTACATGTATTTGCGCTGATACCTTTGTGTTAAAACAGGCTTCACTTTACCTTCTGAACCTCCCTAATGCATGGGCTCATAAACACGTAGACTGTCGCATTGTGAATGTGCGCCAACACTGACGATCCCAGGCTGCGAAGGCTTATTTGCAACAGGAAACAACCTGGGTTTTGAGGTTTCTAGCTTTCGATACTTTGAGGTCCCGTGTCCCACATATAGTCCTCCTGTTTTTTTGCCCTTTTTCACTAAAGAGAACTGAGCAGCACATGATCCTGTGTGATAATTATAACTCATTCGGGCTTTTATCACAGAGGCAGCGATGCATAGATGAAGCAGATACTTGCACTTCCCTTCTTTCTCTCTGTCCCTATATAGACATACGCACACACACTCATGTGAAGGGAATGAACAGAAACTCACGTATTGTACATAAAGTCATACATCCAGGCTGCCAGCAGCTGCGCCCTCTTTACTCTCTTTACGTGAAGCCGATGAAAGTCAGACATTTAAACAATCTGCTTTTTGTCGGTTGATCGAGATCGACACAGTCATACGAACGCGCTTCCTGACTACATGTTTTAATCGTTTAGACGCCATCGCAGCTCTCGTTCTGAGATCCCCTGTCTGTGTCGAGTTCACCGCCTGACGGCTCAACAGTCGTAAAGTCAAAGACAGAGCCTTTGTGAGTAAGCATGTGTGTGTGTGTGAGTGTGTGTGTGTGTGTGAGTGCGCAGGTGTGTGACCTATGTGGTGCAGTGATGCGCTGATCTCTCTGAGCTTGGCCTTGTTCCTGAACTCTTTATCTCCAGGAGTGTTGAAACTGTCTGATGGCAAGTTCTTCTTAGGAAACTCTTACACATCCTATTTCAGTTTCCTCTCACATCTTATTTTTTGACTGTGTGCTGCTAATCTTTGCCGTTATCTGGTTGAAGGGAACAGAACTGAACAGGATGGTCAACTTTGAGCCTTGGTGCTGTTGTTTTTCTGTCACAGTGAAAACAACTATTTTCAATTTACCTGAATTGTAGCTGAGAATTTTTCTCCAGCTTGATTTTTTTTTTTTTTCATACCTCTATCTCATTTGGTGAAGAGTTCATAGCTTAATTAAATCAATGAAAATGGCTCTTCTGATCTTTCACCTCGTCTGAGTGCATCTTGAAAGCTGCGATTTTAGACATCTGGTGGGCACAGTGTGCTTAAAAGTAGCCGTGAGTTTAAATAATACCTGTAGTCTTTAAGTTTTCTATGTCTGACTCATCCTGCTGTCACATAAAACTTATCAGCTTTTAATGACTAATGAACATTTCCTGTTCCTTCACACACCACCCATCTTAGGAGACTTGAGATAAATATATGCCGCTGATCTGAGTCCCCCAGCAGCTCCATCCTTATTTTCACCACGGTATTCCCTGGCTTGCTGTTCACAAACTCAAATCAAGGCCACATTAGTTATTCCTTAAGATTTGGCTGCTTAATGACATGCCATGGATCAAAGGGATTTTTTTTTTTACCTTTCCTGCCAATGACCTAAATGTGTCTCTTTGCAGCTTTAAATTAATTTTTCCAAGGGATTTGGGACGGCAAATATCTCCCACTGGATGAGCATGGGATTAAGTTAGAAAAACATTTTAATGCTTGCTTTAATATATATGTTATGCTTTTGATCCTGACATAACTTTCATTTAACGGTTTCACTCTGATTTGGACGCTTTGAGATTGAACACATGACTGTTGGGAACGGCACTGCAGTGGTTTGGACTCGTTCTGATCGCCGCTTCATGGGATACGCTCACTTTAATGTAGCAACCACACTCTCTTAAATAGTACAAGCATCAGTGACGGTCTGACCGGCTGCGGGTGCGTTTGGTGAGAAGTTGCCTCGTACCTTTGTCCCCTCTGTTGTTCTGCTGGTGGGCGGAGCCGGCTGACAGGTCCTCGGGGACCGCCATGGGCTCCTCTGCCTCCTCAGACGCTTCATTGGCAGGGGGGCTGTCCCTGCCTGGGGAGACACACACCAGCAAACACCCATCACTCAACACGCAACCCCTCGACACGACTCATTCAGGAGAGGCAAAATTACCTCCGGGTGGTGTAAGAGCCTGTCTGTGGGCCTATTGTATCTACTTTGTGCACTCTACGTCTCAATCATGCAGTACGTAGGCTTTTACCTGGCATCTGGGCCATTTCCTGGGCCTCCTCTGTCTCCATGCGGTGCAAGTACTCTAATGGGAGAGAGATGGAGATGTAGATGCGTATAAGTTTAATCAAGTGCAGGCTGAGGAAACAACATTATAAAAAGCTCGAGTTGAGTCGAGGGTGTACTTCTCGCTGTGACTCCGTCACCTCACTGAGATCACTCTTGTCACAGCCACAGACACACCACTGTCCCCCACATTACATTACAAAGAATCACAGACGTTTTCATTACAAGGCTGACAGAGAGTCTGAGCTTGGAGAGTGGCTTGGCTCCGGCTGATGGGGCCCGCCGGTAGCACGGGGTTGCTGGGAATGGGCTTTCACACCACATTTGTTATTTATTGTTAATTTCCTGCCACGTAATCATCCAAAAATGCAAACTGACTGCCGCAAAATTAAGCAGAAAATTAACTGGCCCCAGGTCACCCTGGATGCGGGTGTTTGCCGTGCCCAGCTGATCGGCGCTCGTGTTCTCTCTAATTTACTGAGCATGCATCGCTGAGTCCGCGGCCCGAGCGCAGACACATGCAAGCCACAATCAGAAACAAAGAGAGGGAGCGAAGGAGGGAGAAGAAGAAGAAGAAGAAGAGGGGAAGGCAGCGAGATATGGTGGCAGAGAGGTGGATAGCAACAAGAGGGCAAGAAGTCAGAAGAGCAAATGCAACAGGAAGGTGCAGAAAAAGAAAAGAGACAGAAAAGCAGGCCGAAGGACAGAGAAGTTCTCTTTATTTATTACATTTTTTTAGCAAGACGAGGCAGTCGAGTCCAGAAGCGATCCTCCGGCCAGGGCTGAATATCTGAGGAGTCACCAATGCTCGTGGCCCCATTAATAATGGATGGCCCTCAAGCCTGCAGCAGATGGGCCCAACAGCCTCAGCCCCAGCGCCGCCACTTCAAGAAGCCCTTGGTGGGGCCGCTGCCCAGTCCAAGCAGCCACACAGGGAGAAGTGAAGCTCCCGAAAATAGCGAAACGAGCCCAAGGGAGAAGGGGAACCTAGGCCTTCCTGTTTTACTGACAGATGGCTCCACACACTTGGAACAAATAGTGGGAAGCGACCGGGCCGCTCTGTCGCAACGCACAGTTTTCTGCGGAGTCAAGTCAGGAGCTCGGCGGCCTTCAGACGCCCAGGACACAAGGGTGAGGGCAGGAGGAAGGAGGAGGGTGGCAAAGGTCACTGGTGCAGATGATTTGTTCGGCAGCACACAGGAGTGTTGCGTGTTACTGTGACTCTGCAGCGGCGTTCTTCAGCATCTGGAGTTTTGGAGGTCGGGGGCAGAGGGAGGTATATTCTCATGTGCCCTTTTTTTCTGGGCAGATGGTGCGAGGGAAACACGGATGTGCTGGTGTGGGGGCTTCGACAGAAATAAAATAGAGAGTTCCTACATTCAGCCACAACCCACTTGCGTAGGCATGTGGAAAGTAAGGTGCACGTAGAATATTCAGGAAGTAGCTCTTCTGCTCACACACAGAGTGATGCTATGCTGGTTCTACGTGTTTCAGACACTGCTGCTGCCTTTTAAATACTTTTTCTCTGTAGTTTTTGTTTCTACCTTAACTTTAAAACAACATGGATGATCATTCAAACTGTTGTTTTAATAGGCCAAAGTTTAATCCTACTTTGAAAATATACTTTTTTGATAAAAGCAGGTGCAGTTAAAGCATTTTCATCCCACTAAAAATTTTTTCCTCAAACTGAAATGGTGCGTGGGGGTACGAATGCTAGTGTGATCGAGTGTACAAACTGGGGGCAGGTGGAATCTTTCAGCCGGTGCAATGGAAGTCACAGAAAAGACTTGTGACACAGAAGCGCATGGGGGGGACTGGAACAGTTTTGATCGGAGCACGTCAAGTGAGGAGAGGCAGGAAGAGGCTTGTGGGTTGACAGAATTCTCGGTCCCCCCTCCTGCGTGTTTGTGTGTGTGTTGGTTGTTGGGGGGGAGGGAGGAGGTTAGAGGCTCGAAGCGAGGTGCAAAAGCTACACCAGGGAGCAGGGTGGAGATGAGAAACAACGAAACCGTTAACAGATACCGAGGACCACACCAGCAAAGTTTGGATACCCAGGAGAAGGCGCTGCTGTGAGCGTGCGTGAACACTCATAATGCACATTTAAAATGATCTGGAATACGTTAGCAGAGGGGGGATGTTTAAAAAAAAAGGTATTTCTTGAGAGTTAGAGCTTTCTACACTTTTCCTACAATTAAAGGAGCATGTAAATATTAAAAATGCAAAAAGTATTTTTGTGAGCTGCAATTAAACAGTTAAACACTTGAGCACATAAGCAGCAGTGCATAATGTTAATATGAATCACACATTAATGCTGACGGCACTAACAATACAAAGCATGATTATTTCACACACTCCACTCAAAGTTTCCACTTAAGGCAGCTTACTAAGAAAACTAACTGACGATTAATGAAAACATCTGAATTGATAATTCTGGCTCCCTTTTTGAGAAGCTGCTGTGGGCGCTTTCTTATCAAGCATTTAGGAGAAGAGCTTATCCTACACTGGCAAACAGTGTGGTGCATGGTCACCTTTGTTCATATGGAGATTCTCATCAGTAATTCATGAAATGTATGGGTGGAAGTGGGTAGATAGTGTTCGCAGATGTGTTCTGGGGAGCCTATCGAGGTGGTGAGGGGAGGGGAGGAAGAGGGGGGGAGAGAGTAAAGGTGCGCTGAAGAGAAGTTTCCTTCATTTGCATCTGACACACTTCACTACTCTGCTATTCAGACAGTACAATCATTTTAATAACTGTCTGTCTTCCTCTGCCTCCCCCCACCACCGCCGCCACCACCACCAGCACCAGCAGCACCACCACCACCTCACCCCCCGCCTACTTCTGTTTCTACTGACAAGAAAGATGATGTATCTGCAGACAGATTTGCAGCACTTTCAGCACTTCTCTTTCCAACTGAGCTATGAAAAAGTCTTATTTGTGGAGGTGCTGCTGGGGTTCATTTACAAGTTACACATCAAAAATGGTTCTGCTGCTTTATTGCATTTTATTTTTGCCATGTGTTAGGATTTGTTCACAATGTTGGGTGAAAGTAATTCACTTCCCTTAAATGTGTTCAAATTTGGAAAAATTCAAACTTTAACTGTATTCAAACTTATTTAAAAAACACAGGTTCAACTCAAAATATGACGACAGTTTAATATCTGAATAAATTACACAAAAGCCACTTTAAAGATTTCATTATAAATGGTTAAAATACTTTTTAAATTCTATCAACTACCAGAAAAGTGGATTTTTTTTTGTCTTCTTTTTTGTGTAAATGTCTACAAGTTTGTAACGTGTTACCAAAAAAAAAAAAAAGTGAAACACTCTTAATTTCCTCAACTGTTTGAATCTGTCAGTTTTTGTTCTGGGCGTTGATGTAGAACTTTCCACCTCTGTGTCAGCGGCGTAAAAAGTTTCATCTGTCCTGCCTACATGTGTCTTTTTTCCTTCCCTTCACACAGACGTGTGACTGAGACTGTGGTTCGATTTCGAACAGGTGAACACAAAGCTTGACGGTATGAAATGATCAGATTTATCGATTATTAATTTAAGCTTATTTAGACACGGCTCTCGTCGGTGCGTAATGATTGCCTTGATTTCCTGGTTAAGCAGCGCTAAAATGTTTGCTGTTTGGCCCCCGATAAATTTGCGTCTTCATCAAAAGTTTTTTTTTTTTTTTTTTTTTTTTTTTTTTATTCTTGGAAATGTGTATTTTAATATTTCTCTAAAGCTTCGACCAAGAGGGACGAGCTGAAGTTTAGTGAGTGCGCACATCTGTTGCAACAGGTGTTATAACAGGAAAGTAAAAACAGTGAAACGGGTTAAAATGACGCACACAAACGCGTAATTTGTAGAAAATCATACAGAGTAAGCACGTATTTTTTAATATAAATTTAATCGAAGAGGAAATAATTTATCCATATGTTCCCAAAAGAAAACAGACACATGGAAAATAGGGAACAATTCCACTACTTCCCTTAATTTACTGGTTATATGTAGAAACAAATGTCACAGTTAAATTAATCTCCTCTCCTGAATTAAATCTTTACACTTTTGTCCGTTTGTCCGTTATAAACCCAAATTACGCGCACCAAGCGGGATCTGATGCTGCGGCGCACCTGCACCGAAACTCTAAGGAGAGTCTTTTCCAGTCAGGCGCAAATGTTTCCTAAAAATCTTTAGAGCACACGGGCTCACTTTAGAGGTCCTGAGCTAGAGTTTGAGATGAGTGTGGACCTGAAAATTGCGGTGGAAGTCACTTTACCTGCTATTCCTTGAGTTTGCAGTATGAAGTTCTTCCAACTCTCCCCGGCTCCATGTGCAGAAGGTCGCAGCGCCGCGGCGGCCCCATGGAGCTGCGCCCTGAGTCCCTCCCCTCTCCACTGCACTTCCTCGTTCCAGCCCAACATGACTATGTCTCTGAGCTCGGCTGAGGCATTTTGCTCGCTTTTATCCACAGTCTGCAGCGGGGAGTCGAGCCACCGAACCCTTGGCACTTGCTTTGTGCCGTGCCAATAAAAGCTGACACCCAGTAGACCATTACTGGCAGCCATGCATGAGATGGGATGAGGCGAGCGAGGAGAGTGGACCATTCATTGTTTATTTATTTCATTCACACCGAGGAAGCTGATGGTGGTGGTGGGGGGTGATGGTGGAGGAGGAGGAGG